TTTTAATGCACAAAACGTACTTAAAAAATATAGTTGTTATCCAATGTTAATGATTTTCATGACCAACTTATTAGTTTTTTGAATTACGTTACTCATTTATTGGTTTTATGTAAATACGTGAGAGTAAACTTTACTAGTGTATAAATTGAGTTACAAATATGATTACTAGTTAAATACTGTCTTGAAATATCACACAACTTTGTGTTTCTAAAAGAAAAAAAGTCCATATTTTATTTTTGGGACATAAAACGGATTTAAACTCGATTACGATTTTATGAGTAGAAAAGACTTACCGTACGTTAAAAATAACCGCGTATAACATACAAGAGGTTTGAATAACATTTTGTTCCATAAAACTCTTTATTAAATAGTTTAGAAAAATTGTAATAAAAATATCGTTTTAGTTTCGAATTAGAAATTTTGGGCAGTGGTCGTAGAATTTTTTTAGATGAAACGAGTAATGTACATCCATTTATATAGATCTGAAAATCATAAGTTACACATTTTTTGCCATAATTTAAATGGTGATTATTACAATAGTAAAATATGGTCAGTAATCAGTATATATTATGTGATTTTTATAAATTCGCAGGCATAATATTGTAGCTTTTCTAAATAATAAATTTATATCTCAAGGTATTTCAAACGATTACGTATGTATATGTCATTTTCTGGAAGCATATTCATGATTATTAATTTTTCACCTTGATCATACGTTTATAAGTATTTCATTCAGGTTCTGATTTTGGAATAGAAAAGTTCAAATGTCTTATACATTTATATTTAACACAAAAACATTTTAAACTGTTCATGTCTTAAGAATTTTGGAGAAAAAACACATATTGAACGTTACGATTTATATTTACGGGTCTATCCTGTGTATAGAGAAACTTTCCACCAAAGCGTGTTTATAAGAACCGTGAAGATGGTGTAGTATGGTTACGAATGTTATTCATCAATGGACTCAAAATTACATAATATGTACTATAATGGTATAATATAATATAATATAACATATAGTATAATGTATAATATAATATGTACTATAGAGTACTATAATGATGTACACATAAACGGGTATAAATATAATAATAATAATAACAGTATATTTCTGCGGTAAATATTTCGGGAAATGGCGTATAGATGCTGGGGATTTCAAACGGGTTATATAATTTTTGATGAGAGAGTCTTGTAATTGCAGAGAAACTGACGACCAATTGTTTCACAGAATTATTAAATTTATGATCCCCCACAGCATACATGCGCCCGCGAGAAACAGCATTATTCTAAAATACCATAGCAATTTCCTCTCTTGCTCCCTTATAGCGATAGTGGAAAAGGGATAGTGTGTTTAGGGGTAGTTTTGTATGTGTATGTATATCTGGGTAAACGCAAATGGTGGCTGGTTTAATTGCCGGTCCAATTTTCAGCCCTAGAAAGGAATAAATTATAATTATAATTCAGGATATTGTGGGTCCAAGCAAAGTTGCTGTTGTAAAAAAGAAAACGAAAAACTTTGTTTTTTTGGGTTCTGTTAAATTAATAGTCAACCGTAAAGAAAACAGTAATGTCTACTCTCTATCTCCCTAGCTTTACTGAGTTTTAAGTTGAATGATATTTTCAAATCGTTTATAACCAAACAAAAAAAAAAAAAAAAACATTTGATTCATTTACGATTAAACGAGTTTTTGTTTTTTTAAACGCAATTCCAACTTAATTTTCGTGCAAAACGTTTTATTCAACTTTTTAGTTTTCTTTTTCTTTTTTAGGTTTAAATTTCTATAACTATATACAATTTTAATAAACAATTAATTTCCATCATTGAATATTTATTGTTATAGTATATCTTATCGAACAAATCGAGAGCCAATTTTATTTTATATACATTTGACTTACTATCGTTTGTTTTTTATTTTTTTATTTTGAGGTTATTTAGAATGAAACAAAATGTTTGATATTAATGCGATTCACAATGTATACAAATGAGACGGATCAATAAAATGCTTCAAAACTTCGGAACATCCACATTTATTTTGAATTGTATTTTTGCACTTAATCTATTATCCCACCGTGATTTATATAATTTTTATTTTCCATAAAAATAAAAATAAATTAAACTCGGTATGACCAAAGCGGATAAAAATAATGCAATATAGTATAGTTACTTACTAATATGATTTTCAATAATCTGTAATTTGCATAATGTCATAGTTGTCAAACAACGCGATGATGATTTTTCTGCCTATTAAATCACACACATACACGTTCGGAAAAATAATTATACATTAAATAAATTTGTGTAGGAACGCTTGTTCATAATAAAACTGTAGTCGTGGTTAGATGATAATTCCATGTCACTATTAATATTGTTCCGAATTGTTCATCGTTTCCCGTGTAAAGACTATACATATACACAGTCACAAAGAAAAGAACAAGCCTTTCAATAATTAGTCAAACGTCCCAGAAACGTATATACAAGATTTGCATTGCAGGATTATACCGCTGGTTACAGATACATCGGAGACCACCAAACTTTTAGCGCATTCAAAATAGAAGGTGATTTATTATTTCAACTTCCCGACGAACACCGGTGTGTTTTTTTTATCCTTGCTCTCGTTTTTTATTATTTCCACCACGCATATGTTTCCATTAATGAATATTCATTTTACAGTTCAGCTACGATTGAGACATTGATTGCACACAAAGCTGTCCAAGACAGAACTATAATGGTCACGACCAAAATATTTTGGTTTAGATAAATTATTCTAATATTATGTTCGCGCGTTTTAGAGGGGTTGCATTATTTTAACTTTTTTTTTTTTTACTGTGATCTATACCTCTTTTTTGGACAAATACATTATATTTTTAACCAAATCGAACTTAAGTGTCTTGAAACATAAATATTTCTTTTATTTATTTTTTTATTTACTCGTACAATCTATACATAACTTACTATATAATAACCAGAAACGATGATAAGGTTTTACAGTGACGTGGGATTAAACTAGAAAATTCCCCCTACCCCAGTGACACTCCAAGAAATATTAATATAAAATTACTTTTCCATCATAAAACGTTGGTGTTCTCAGAATTTTATGTACTTTGTGTACCGATCTTTTCGTACTACTTTTATTTAAATTCAAAGTTTCTACATTAAACCACATCAGGAACGTTCCATTTTCCGATAAAATTCCATTATTGCATAAGCGTTGCAGCCCTAAACGGTCTCGTGGAAACAACTATATTTTATAGTAATTGTCACCCTAAACATAGTTTATACAGTGGTAGACAATTGGTTTCGGGTCCAGTTGACACCGTCTCCACCACAGTAGCCCAGGATCGTGTCCAGATCATTTGAATTAGTATTTTATTGTAATTATGACAGTATAACATGTAGTGTAGAACCACGTCATTTGCGCCAACGTGTTACGACGTATAGAATTTATTATTACTATTGTTGTACTTTCATAGCATTATTAACGTAATCGGATGTTTCTTTCTCCAATATTATACGCATACATTTTAGTTAAAACGTTGTAGTTAACGTTTTCACGCAATAACATGAGTTGGGATTTTAGTCATTTGGGAGATGTTTATATTTTGGTTCTTAACACGAATCATTCGATGAGAAAAGTTACTCGTCGGCAAAGGTTGGCGTTTACTAGTTAAAAATTAATTAATTTTAAACTTAAACTTAACTATTTTAATTGGCAGTTGAAATAACTTAGCATTTCACAGTTAATTTAAAAATTAATCCATCGTTAAAAAATTTTTAAATTTTTTGTTTATACGTAAATATTAATTTAAAAATTAAATATTCATGTATAGTATAATGGTACACTGTTCATTAGATGTCATATTAGATTTTGTAGGTTGAGGGCCCACTTTTGAGTATTGAGTTCTGGCCGTGGATACAGGATGTTATGTATAAAGAATTTTAACTATAAAGATAAATAAGTACGATAGTGAATGGCCCCTAAATGTACAATGTCATAGTACTTTTCAAACACTTCGTCAACACTGCTATATATTATGATAAAAAATGCAATACAATTGTTTATTATAATTTAGAAAATTTTATATTTCTAAAGAACGCATTTACTTTTTATGTGATCTATTTACTAATTAAAAAAATAAATTAACTTTTTTGGAACTGAGTTGATTTAGTATTTTTTCCCTTATTAACTTTTAACTTCGATCTTGTGTTCTTTTGACTTAGCTTAACTCAAATTCATTATTTTCATTACCTTGGCTACCTTTGTTCGTCAATAATACGCCATTTAATGATCACTGTAGATCAAGTAATGGAAATTTTATATCGTTTTTTTTTTTTTTTGTATTCTGTTCGCATATAAAGTTGGTATTTTAATAACTTATTGCCGTTAAAGAAAACTTGTTCAAAAACTAAAATGTATCAACGAGAATATTATTGTTCAATTTTTACATGTAACTATACACAACTCTCTAATAAGTTAGTAGGTATGCAGTGAATTATTGTAAAAATAAATTGGTGCACAAATGTTTTACTAATCGGTTAGTATTAAAAATAAAGTGAATATTGATTTTGTGTTATGAATGCTGTGATGCTTGTAATGTTTTTTACGAAGGATCAGTAGGGATGTTTTTGGTATATATATATTTTTACTAAACGCCTTGTCCTTTTAACCTTCTTTAGTTTCGTGGTAATTAATTCGTTAATAACGGTGTAATAAGAGCGACCCCCGTTATTATATCATCTCGTTTGATATTGTGGATATAATATTATGGAAATGTCACCTGACACACGAGGATATAAGCCTAACAAGATTTATACCCGAGAGTTAATCGAATAAAAATGATCGCGAACCATCGGCTACTGGCATAACCGATGGAATAATTATTTTTGTTTACTCTCGATAAACATTACATTTTTCAAAAACATATTTATCATTGAAGACTGATTAATATCAATTTTTCAACATTATTTATTAATTATGATTTATTTTATTTTTTTGTTACAGAAATTATGGAGTTTATGTGACGGCCAAATCGTAAGTGACTAACTATTATTTTTAATAGATTAAATATTTTAAAGTGGTAGTTTAACTTTGTCTTTTACTATCTTCGTTTGGTATGCATCGCATTTTTGAATGTAGAAAATTGCAGTTCGAAATTAATTCACATATGTCTAAAAAAATGCTAACTTTTAATTTTAAGAATTGTTATGGTTTAATTGATCTTATTAAACAGTTAAGTATGGTATGAAAATAGATACGGATTAGTGTAAGTTAAAGATTTCTATATTTTTTCAGTAGAAAATCAATACGGACCTATAATAGCTTTGATATTCTAAATTCATTAATTTATACTGTCGGTAAAAACTTTTAAGCAACATTTCGTGTACCTACTATCCTTATTCCACGCATATGTACATTACATTATATTATATACTATGACATAGATAGAATCCTAGAAAATACACACAAATTGTATTATATTATAAACGTGTCACTTAGTTACCTAATTTCTGCGTATTATTATAATTGAATTTATATGTACCCACAAGAGATAATATATAATGTTTTACATTAATTTAATTATGATTTTTATCATAATTTTCTTGATGAGTTATTAATAATTAATATATAATATATAATAACTATAAAATTATTATAGAGCTATTTTGCTGAAGTCAATATTTGGGAATATATATCTACAAGATGCCTTTTAAAAAAAGTTTTTTCATAATTTTGTCACTTTTTATGAATTTTAGAACCTAAAATGTTATATAAAAACTATTTATTTTAAGATTTTAAAAATATGACGTGTTTAAAATGTTCAAATATTATTTTATAGTTTTCCTAATTTATACATACATATATTAAATTATTTAAATTTTTATTTATAAGTCCACATTATCAAATATAATATTACGTTCTAAGAATAAGGATGATTTTAAAATACTTTTGTATTACTTACATCATTATCATATGAGATTTTTTTTTTTTTATGTTTTATTAACCTATTTGTTTTTAATAGTCAAAAATCAAAAAAAATAATGCATATAATGTTATTAGTAGACTTGCATATACCTTACCCTTACTATACTTCATAGATACAAGTATCAATACCATTGTTACTATAATTATTTAAATATTTGATGTATTCTCCTTTTCTAATTAATTAACAGTGAGTCGGTGATGAAAAAAATAAAATGGTTGATATACCCCAAAAATCAATATTTACACTATTTGGTGGTTTGTGACTTAAGCGTCTAATACCTGGCTTAAAATTGTATTAATAATGCAAAATACCTATAAACGTATTAGTTCTGAGTTATTTAAAAACCCAAACGTATATAGCAAGTCAGAACAATATTCTTGTCTTGCTGTTTTTAAGCAAAATAACACATATCAATCAATTGAGTTTCAAAAAGTGTGATAAAAATATTCCAATTACTTCAGCACGTACAAATTATATTGTTAAAAGCTTAAAAATTCATACATTTTTAAAGATTAACGTACTAGGACACCGAATAGCCCATGTTCATTATTGTCCATGCAGTAGCTGTATGTTTGGTTTAAAAAGAAAAATAATTAATAATAAAAAGATAAAAAAAAAGAATAATTCTTTTTTTTCGATGTATTTTAGCGATTAAAGAATTTATTACAACTATATAACATATATTTTTCATTTAAAGGGTGAAAATCTCGGTAAAACAATAAAATTCTTAAGCTTCTTTAATTCACTGGGAGTTCTAATAAGTATTAGTTGTAGGTAGTACATGTTAGAGGGGAAAAGGGGACTCGTAAATTTTGCAAGATAAGAGATTGGTTCTCAGCCAGGTGACTGTGTTCGTTGGTTTTTTTTTTTTTTTTTGCCTCACTTCGACCCCTTGGGATATACACAACCAACTCGTTCACGTACCCAGGCGTCAAAATTAATTATTTGTTAACCCACACACACGCGCTCACGCATATATACCACTTGCGCTATAATGGGAGACCTACCGTCGAAACTTTAATCTGGTTAAGTTTTACCGTTACGAAATTAATTGCTACTGCTGATCGATTTACCTTGCTCCGTAAAATGTTGTAATTTTGGTTAAACAACATTAACGATTATTCACTTCAATTTTCTAAACTGCGAAGACGACCGTTGAGAGTACACAAAACGTTTAAAATATTCATCGCACAAATCTCGAGTCATCTAGCAACAATAAATATCTCCGAACCTCTGCGCCATTCATGTGTACATATTTTTGGCTAATTCAAATATTTAAATACAACATGTTTATTATAATTTTATCGTATACAAGATTGCTTGTAGAAAAGAAAACTCTTTTATTTTATTATTAAAAATTATATGAATTTTGTTTTTCTGTTTTTGAACACTTATCCAACTACCACAATATTAATTAAAATAACGACCATATTGTTGTAAGTTAATTAACAACACTTTCTCTATTCATATTCAACTATCAAAATAGATTATTATTTTCCCGGATTTCGTTTAAGTACGTATTAACTATGAACTAAATGCTGGTTTAACATAACTTTAATGTTTGACCAAATTTTACAAATTTTAGCACATAATTTACAGGATAAGAGTAAAACTAGCAATATAAAACGACTGATATTGTCAATTCGGTTAATTGACCATAATTACGGTATTGTGTATGGACTTATAAAAAAGATAAAAATAAATTTCATCAACTGCTTACCATAGAATTCTAAAATGTACATTTCTTTATCGAAAACAGTTTATTCTTAGTAATATTATAATAACGTTGAATAACAGATTATTGTTATGAGTTACAAACTAACCTAACACAAAATCATATTGCGAAATGCAAATTGCAATTAACTTTTATAATAATGATGTTACAAGGTATTCGTCAAAGAGTTTTTATATGGTTTTATAATATATATATCACTATTGTAGTGTGCGAGGAGGTATGTGTAAACTATGTTTTTATTTATTTCGGTTTTGTTATACGGGCGACAGGTTTTTCAAATTTCATAGAGGTCAAACTTTTTCGAAAGTTTTATCCCTGTATTTTCTCTTTCTCCCTTGTGCACATTTCGATACAATAAATTGAGGTAAAATATCAGATTTATCGGTCATTCTTGCATCAGGAATTCGTTTTAAAAATAACATTTTTGTAAAAATGAATGCACTTATAAGAGTTCAGCTCAAAATAAGTCATACGCCTGAAAACACAAATAATATTGGTACCTACAGTACATTTTCCCGAAGTTTTCAAATTATTTTTCCATTGTGGAATAAAAATATATGCACTGAGGACAATAAGGAAAAGGTATACAAATTGTTAACTAAAATATATTTATTACAATAATTGTAATGTGTATTTTTGATTTAAAATGTATAAAATATAAAAGATCTTATAACATGTTGATATATTTAACACTCGATTATCGATTATCATTTTTTGAACTTTGGGTATTACAAAATTTCAAATCATATAAGAAATTAATATTTATGATGACACTATCTAAAAGGAACTCTCAATATTGCTACAATTGATCTTTGTTAATAGAAGCGTTAATAATGTCACATATTGAATTGATTAAATTGTATTGAATGAGTCGAGATCTTGTTTAAAAAGGTTAATTAAGGTTAATTCTTTATTTTAATACGATTATATCGAACATTTTTTTTTTTTTATAATATACTAAGTAAATAATAATTAATAATGTACTATACTTAATAATTAATCATTTTACTATGGAGGACCCAATTTATATTTAAATGCATGAAGGTTTATTTAAAAATTATAACATTTGAATAACTAATCAATGAAATTAATATTGAAGGCGGTAAAACGAACTTTTATGTCAAGGCTTAAATGTTAAAACTATGAACATAATCTGATTTAAGTTCTTTACTAAGCGTGTTTAAAAACTAAAAAAAAAACCATTGAATACATTTTTTTAAATTTTTTTTAACGGTATTGAAAGTATACGATTAACGTTGTTATAATTGTTCTTTTTCTTTTTACAACCTTTTTAAAGAAAATTAAAAAACATATATATATTTAGTTTTTTAAGTGAATAAATACGTTGCCTTATAGGCTATTTTTAATTTTGAAATTAGTTTACTTTACACTAATCGAATTTTATGAAATTAAAAGTTTATTAAAAGTCAACACTGGAATTTTTAAATTTTATTATCACATAGTTAATTTTAAACGCTAGGAAATTAAATTATTTAAAAGTTTTGCTCGATCATATTATTAGCTATTCATGGTAAGATAATTATTGTAAACTCATAAAATTTAATTTTTAATTCTTTTAACTTTAAGTAATAATTGAAATTGTTTTATTTAACTAAACAGTTATTTAATTTTTCGTTTTGTACATTTCAACTTTTATTCGTAGATTATTATTGTATCATACTCTAATGAACTGATGTAATCTGCTAATGCACTCAAGTCGGTAATTGAACATTGTAGTGCGTAAGTTCTTTTAAAGATAAAATAAATTTGAACAATATAATTTAGTAGTTTTTAATAAAAATATAAATGATGAGAGCTTTGAGTATTTTAGTTAAAATAATTTACGTATTATTATGATCGTTCGAATTGATAAAATTATTATAATTCAATAAGATATTAAATTTATATAAATTTACAAGTATAAATATATCAGTATAATGGTATTCGAAAACATAATATAAGTGTTCCGTTTCACAAAATTTTAATGATATTTTTATAACGATGACCCTTTTATATTCTTCATTTTTTCGCACTACTCAATAATTATGGATTTTAATAAAAATATTATTACGCGTTCAACAGCGTTCACTTGGTAATATGATCTTGGAGGGTTGTAAACGACTTAATATTTTTAATGTAATTCACAAAATTAAAATAAATATAAATTTGTGCATACAGTATATATTATATATTTCTTTGTCTTAATAGATTTTATATAGGTATTAAAGGTGTGAAAAGAATGAAGTATTCTTTATTATCATTATGGTAACACAGGTAATAAATGAAAAGGTAATTAATGATAAATTGCGAACA